ATGGTACTTCTTTTTTTTGTTGTTGTTGTTTGTTTTGTTTTTTAAGATTTTATTTATTTGAGAGAGAGAGAGAATGAGAGCCAGAGAGCACGAGAGGGAAGAGGGTCAGAGGGAGAAGCCGAGTCCCCGCTGAGCAGGGAGCCCAATGTGGGACTCGATCCCAGGACTCCAGGATCATGACCTGAGCCGAAGGCAGTCGCTTAACCGACTGAGCCACCCAGGCGCCCTGGATGGTACTTCTTTTTGGTGCTCTTCCTCAGCCAGTATTCTCCTTTGGTGTCCTCTATGGTTGTAGAGGTTTGGCAGTGCAAGGAAATGAGAAACTTTCTAAATTAGGAGTTAAGGACGTTGCAGTAAAACAGGCGGGGATTATTTAAAGGGGTTGCCACAGGGGCACCAGGGCGGCTCAGTGGGTTACGCGGCTGACTTCCATTCAGGTCCTGGTCCCAGGGCTCCCTGCTCAGCAGGGGGTCTGTTTTTCCCCTCCCTCTGCCCCTCCCCCCACTCGTGCGCATGTGCCCTCTCTCTCTCTCTCTCTCACAAATAAATAAGTAAAATCTTAACAAAAATAAAAATAGGGGGCACCTGGGTGGCTCAGTTGGTTGAACGTCTGCCTTCGGCTCAGGTCATGGTCCCAGGGTGCTGGGATTGAGCCCCGCGTCGGGCTCCCTGCTCGGCGGGGAGCCTGCTGCTCCCTCTTCCTCTGTCATCCCTCTCCCACCCCCCACTTGTGCTCTCTGGCTCTATCTCTCTGCCAAATAAATAAATAAAATCTTAAAGGAGTTGTTATAGATGTGTCTCTTCTATAAGAATGAAACACATTACTAGGTAGCTGGGGGTGTTTGGGTATTGGGAACCAGGTAGTTTTCATAATCAGAGATCTTACATTCTGCCTGATAAGCTAGGGATTCTGATACAGTTAATTGAGATTTGAAATTAATGTAAAGTGTGCAGTTTGTGTGTGTGGCTGTAGATATGGATATACATAGTGGTCACAGAGGAGGGACTAATCTTCCCTTCCCTAGGAAAAATGGTGATTAGACCTGCAGTGACAGTGGATGAGCACCTGACCCATGGTTTTCCTGACATTCCATGTCAGACATATCACATAGCTTCATGTTCTTTCTTGCTCCATATAATTTTCTACAAGCTTTTTAGAAATCACCCAAAGGAAGAGGAGATAGCAAGTGTGCTTGCAGAATTGGATTAGACCAGGGTGCCTAGGTGGCTCAGTTGGTTAAGCGACTGCCTTCGGCTCAGGTCATGATCCTGGAGTCCCGGGATCGAGTCCTGCATCGTGCTCCCTGCTCAGCGGGGAGTCTGCTTCTCCCTCTGACCCTCTTCCGTCTCATGATCTCTATCTCTCATTCTCTCTCTCTCTCAAATAAATAAATAAAATCTTTAAAAAAAAAAAGAATTGGATTAGACCATCACTATACAATAGAAATCTAGGGCAAGCCACATGTAATTTTAAATTCTCTGGTGGGGGATTCTAGGTGGCACTGTCGGTTAAGGGACCCACTCTTGGTTTCAGCTCAGGCTGTGATCACAGGGTTGTGAGATCGAGCCCTGTGTCAGGCTCCACACTTGGTGTGGAATCTGCTTGAGATTCTCGTTCCTTCTCCCTCTGCCCCTCCCACTTGTGTGTGCACGCAAGCTCGCTCTCTCAAATAAATAAATAAATCTTTAAATTCACTGGTAGCCACAGTAACAAAGCCAAAGAGGTGAAATTAATTTAAATAGTTTAATACTTTAGCCCAATATATCCAGATTAGCATTTAAACACGTAATCAACATACAAATTATGCTTTTTTCTTAAAAAATTTAAAAATCTAGTGTATATTTTACAGTTAGTACACTTGAGTTCAGATACTAAATTTGGATCAAAAATACTTGATCTTAGCCGAGAATCATCTTTAGACTCATACATTGGGGGTCTGCGAATACATTTTTTGATCACATACAGTCTCTTTTTGTAGGTACATTTTGATGTAGTATTGCCGTCTTAATGGTCCATTCATTAACATTCTGGATTTTTGCTTCTTGAATTTCTTTCCTAAGAACCTAGATTTTACCTTACTTTTTAACCTTAAATTTTTTTTTAAAGTGTTATTCATTCATTTGAGACACAGAGAGAGAGAGAGAGAGAGAGAGAGAGAGAGAGAGAGAGCATGAGCAGAGGGAGAGGGAGAAGCAGGCTCCCCGCCAAGCCAGGAGCTCAATATGGGGCTCGATCCCAGGACCCTGGGATCATGACCTGAGTGGAAGGCAGACGCTTAACCATCTGAGCCACCCAGGCGCCCCTTTAAAATTATTTTTTAACCTATGTTAGCAACATAGAACCATCACAATAGAAAACTACTTTATAAATAGCTACAAATGTATATAAATTGTAATCCCTCTGTGGGCTATTCAGATTGGAAGAGTAAATAATGGCCTCAGGGTGATTTTAATGTGAGTTTGGGGGTTTATTTTAAGTCTTCTGTGATGACAAACGTAGAACTTGTAAAAATTGTTACTAGTCCATTGCAAGTTCTGTTATGGTGGATTCAGGAGGTAGTTGTGGGTTCTGTCTGGTATTGATAGACTTTTTATCATTTGAAGAAAGTGACCTCCAGGCTTGGTAATTTATTTTAGGTGTATTTCATTGTAGTAAGATTGGCTTTCTAGTATCCCATCTGGAAAAGGCCTTTGGCATCTAACAATAGAAAAGCAGGTGGTTATGATTCGTCCTCAGAGTAATTTTAAGAAAATTGGGGCATGTGGCTAGCTCAGGCCATAGAGCATGAGACTCTTAATCTCAGGGTCCTAAGTTCAAGCCCTATGTTCAAAGTGGAGCCTACTTTAAAAAAATTTAAAAAAAAAATTTTTTTTAAGTAATTTTAAGAAAACTGATTATGAGCTAATAGCCCACTATCACGGTTAGTCGGCCACTGGTGATTTCTCTTTTTTACCTGTTTGGTGTATTGTTTTAGCCAGTTAGAGCTAGATTTGCAAGTAAAAACAGAGTGTTTGGGAGGTGGTCTGTAAAAAATTAAAGACCTTGTGGTGTTTGCCTTCAATTCACTGAGGCAACATTCCCACGGAACAGTTTTATGGTTCTCTTCTTTTTCAGTACGCCCCTCCCCGCCCGCAACCAGATCACTGGAACATCAGGAATTTATGGCTTTTTTTTTAATAGTATAAAAATACTAGTACTCTATGGTTTTTGGATGCTCTTACCTACTGGTTCTCAAAGAGTAGTTTAGGACCAGCACTATTAGCATCACCTGGGAACTTGGCTAGAAATGCAGATTCTTGGACCCTACCGTGGACCTACTGAATCAGAGTTTCTGGGGGCGGAGCCAAGGCATTTGTGTTTTAACAGGCTTCTCCCTGGACCCAGTTATGACCAAAGCATTTATGTGTGAGATGGTTATTGCTGGTGACGGGCACACAGTGGTTGTGGTACCATTTTTCATGGTATGGTACTAACTAAAGAGAAGTACAGTTGCTGACCTTGGCCTCATTCTTCTTGAATACCATGTTACTGTCACCCAACGAAGTGGAAGAGAGTTGTGGCTTTCCACTCCAGACCAGTACTATTCATTTACTCAACACTTATTTATTGAATGTGTACCTGGGGCTAGGCACTATTCTGGCCTCAAGGATACCATAATGAGAACAAAACAGAGAAGATTCCTGTCCCTATGACACTCATATTCTTTTTTTTTTTTTTTTTTTTTTTTTTTTTTTTTTTTTTTAGTGAACCATTCTATTAGAAGGAATATATCAGGGGTACATGGCTTCTGAGCCAAACCCAGCCAGCGGCTTGTTTTTGTAGATAAAGTTTTATTGGAACACAGCTGCATCTGCTCATTTACATATTGTCTAAACTGCTTTTATACTGTAATGGTAGAGTTGAGTAGTTGTGACAAAAAGCTGAAAATATTTACTATTTGGCTTTTTATAGAAAAAGCTTGTGGATCCCTGGTGTAGACCATAAAAGAATAAATGTGTAATAGAGTGTTAGGCGGTGACAAGTATTATGAAAAACCATACAGTGTGTTAAGGGAATAGAGAGTGGGGCCCTCCCTCATACTGTGGTCAGGGAGGACCTTTTTGAAGATGGGACATTAAAAGAAAAAAAATTTGAATTAAGTGAAGGATATTTAAAGAAGGAAGGGGGCCCCTGGGTGGCTCAGTCAGTTGAGCGCCTGCTTTCAGCTCAGGTCATGATCAAGCCCCCCGCTCAGAGGGGAGGCTGCTTCTCCCTACCCCTCTGCCACTCCCGCCTGCTTGTGCACTCGCTCGCTCTCTCGCTCTCTCGCTCTCTCTCTCTCAAATAAATAAAATCTAAAGAAGGAAGGATACAGCTGAGGATATAGCGGGTGCAGAGATGCTGAAACTTAGAATGTTCTGGGAACAGCATGGAGGCCACTGTGGCTGGAAGACCATGATTGAGAGGGAAAGGGAAATGAAGTGGCCATAGCCAGGTCCAGATCCTATATACCCTTGTATTGTGGGCTGTGGTGAGGGCCCTTTAATTGTGAGTATTGAGAAATACATTTTCGGAGCCCTTCTATAGAGGGGTCTTTTTGGCTAAACAAATGGCAGAGGCTGGAAACTAAATACCTAGTGTTGTAGCACATTCCAACATCTCTAAAGAACATTTCTTTACAAACTTTCCCCTACGCTCATTACTCTTTTAAGATTTGTTTTCCTCAGCCCCTGTGTATCTATGTATTCTATTTAGCTGATGGTTCTTGTAGGGTGTGGGGTTTGGTAGAAAGCAAATATCTCTCTGGTTTAAATGTAAAACGCTTGAGCCTAGAAATTGGGTCATCTACATTAGCTTTCAAACTTGAAAAAAATACAACACAGAGTAAGAAATGTATTTGATATTATGATCCAGCAGTTACATACAGATGTAATGAAGTAAGAGTTTCACAAAACAGCGCTCATCTTTAATATGAGAGATGTATTTTATTTTCTATTGTTTCATTAACAACAGAATACTGACCTTTTTGTAGTTCCTAAGCATGGTGATTGGCTGCTCACCGCGTGTGTGTGACGTGTGCCTCCCTCAAACCTTGCTACTGCCTCGGCACATTACCCATGTGAGGTGGGGGAAAATGCTAGTTGTGACCTAGATTGATTGCACGTTCTACTCAGGGTTTTTGACTTGCTATTTAAAAAACACTGGCCAACGCTGTCTAATCCAAAACTTTGTAAGTCCTTACATGTGAAGTATTGTGATAGGTACAGAGACAAATAGAAGATGCTAACAATTTTTCCTTTTGGAGGAGGGTATTGGAAGGTCCAAGTATATGAGATAAACTAGCTGTAGTATGACTGGGACAGTAAATGTCAACTCAGTTATTACAACTTCCATGGTGTTGGAAAGTGATGAATAGAATGGTTTTGGGTGTCAGAGAAGGCATTCCCAAAAGGGTGGCATTTAAACTGAAGACTTGAAGAAATAACTGTGGGTTTTTTTTTAAATTGAAGTATAATTGACATAGAATATTATATTAGTTTCAGGTGTACAACATTGTGATTGGATGTTTATATACATTATGAAGTGATCACCACAAATCTAGTTCCCCTCTGTCACCGTACAATGTTTTTACAGTACTAATGACTGTATTCCCTATACTGTATTACTGTATTTTTATAACAAGAGTTGAGTTGGGGATTGGGGCCATCTACCAAGTGAGAGAATGGTAGGGGGTAAACTAGAGAGCCAAGAAAGCATGAGGTATGTTGGAGAGAGGTGGATGGGACAACACTGAGACCAGAGTTTCTGGAACAGAAGACTCCTGTATGTAAGTGGTGGGAATGAGGTATTAGACAGACTGACTGACTTAGGAATCCAAGGGGGGAGTGGGACAGGGGCCCATTTGTTCTGACTGCCAGCTCAGTGCTAGAAGTCTGTTTTCTCTTCTGTAAGAGAAAGATACTGAGGTCTGTTAGCCTCTCTCCAAGGGTTATTTTGGAGATGAAATGCAAGCCAGGTAAGAATGTTTTCTGAGTAAAATAAAGCACTGCGTAAATGTTAGGTGGTGGTATTTTTATCACGGGACTAAGATTAAAAAGGAAGACTGGAGCAAGGTAGATAGGTAAGGATTTAGATTGCCACCCTGAAGTCATCTTTGCCTTTTTCCATATAGATTATGGGATGGGAGAGGGGGTAGTACACCAAAAGTTTTAAGCAGAAAAAAGGCATGGTGAAAATTGGTATGTTTTAGGAAGATTAGTGTGGTAGCGCATGCGGTATAGAGTGGTGCCTGTGGTGGGGAGACCAGTCAGAGCTTTTCTGGTGGAATAAGCTTGAAGTTAAAGGGGGCTGAAGTAGTCAGTGGCAATAGGAACGAAAGGAGAAGGATGACTTGAGGTAGTCTTATTGCAGGAGAACAAGGACTAAAGTATAATTTCAGGACAACCAGCCTGTGCCCTGGGAGAATAGCAGGTTCTTCTAGTAAAGGAGGAAGATAGGAGGGGAGAGATGGGGAACAGTGGGGGGGAAGGATAATTTTTCAGCTTTTGGCATTTTCAGTTTAAGGTGATGCTGGGCCATTAGGTAGAAATCAGGAATTGAGAAATACTACCCTGGGGCTCAAGAGAGAGAAATCTTGGCTAGGGATAAGAATTTTATAGCTCCCTACTTTGAAGCCTGGGGATTTGCTAGATTTCTAAGGAAGAAAAGATTTAGAAAAGGGAGGATTGGAGACGTCAGAGAACCACGGCTGCGATGTGCCTCGCAGGCCACAGAGGCCCTTTCCTGACCGTACATTTTTCTGTACCAGCGCTTGTCACACAGGTACTAACTTGCTTCTGTAGATGCAGGCTGCCTGGACTAGCAGTGAGAGGCAGGGTAGGGCCTGGACTAGCAGTGAGAGGCAGGGTAGGCGTGGGGGGGAGAGACGAATTGATACTGCTGTATTAACCGTGCTGTTTGTCAGGTGCTCACTGTCTGCAGGCGCTGCTTAGCATTCACACGGCCAACCCTTTTCTGTCTCATAACAGTCCTGAGAAATAGATATTATCATCCACGTCTTACAGACGAGATCGACGCACTGAGAAGTTAAGCATCTTGCCCAAGGTTATATGGTCCATGATAGAGCTGGGACTCCAACCAGGGCCTGACTTCTCAACATTAAGTATAACTAACTCTGTACCGAGCACTTTATAGACTGGTTCCTACAGCAGGGACCCTGATCAAAAGGCTTAGTAAAATTTCAGAACAACCCAGCAAGATACGTTAGCCCATTTTACAAATTAAGAAATTGAATCTGAGAAAGGCTGGGTTATTTGTGCTAGGTCACACAGATAGATCGTAAGTAGTAAAGCCAGGATTTGAACCAAGTTCTGTCAGAAACCAAAGCGCATGTTCATTTATATTTCACTTGGAGGTCAGCAGACTTTTTTCTGTACAAGCTATAGCAGATACAGCTCTGTGGGCCATATGGCCTGCATTGCTGCTACTCTACGCCGTTGAGGTATGAAAGCAGCCAAGACTAAACATAAACAGGTGAGCATGGCTATGATCCAAAAAATCTTTATGGACTCTGGAATCTAAATTTCATATAATTTTTAGGCATCACCAAATATCCTTGAAAATTATTTCTTTTCTAAACATTAAAAAATGTAAAAACTATTCTTAGCTAGCAGGCTGTACAAAAACAGGTAGTGGGCCACATTTGGCCTATGGGCCATGGTTTGCTGACCCCTACTTGATTTTACTTATTTTTTTAAAGATCTTATTTTTAAGGGACACCTGGGTGGCTAAGCCAGTTAAGCATCTACCTTCGGCTCAGGTCATGATCCCAGGGTCGTGGGATCGAGTCCCAGTGTCGGGCTCCCTGCTCAGCGGGGAGTTTGCTTCTCCCTCTCCCTCTTTCCCTCCCCTCTGCTCGTGCTCACGTACTCGCTCTCTTTCTCTTTCAAATAAAATCATTTAAAAAAGGGTGCTTGGGTGTCTTGGTCAGTTAAGCATCTGCTTTGGGCTCCAATCCTGGGATCAAGTCCCACATCAGGCTCCCTGCATGGCGGGGAGTCTGCTTCTCCCTCTGCCCTTCACCCTGGCTTGTGTTCTCTCTTGCTCTCTCTCTCTCTCAAATAAATGAAATCTTAAAAATCTTTAAAAAAATTTTTTTAAGTGATCTCTACACTGAACTTGGGGCTTGAACTTAACCCTGAGAGCAAGAGTTTCATGCTCTACCAACCAAGGCAGCCAGGTGCCCCTGCTGACCCCTACTTTAATCCATTCATTTAATAAATATATTTTGAATACCATCCCTAAGTGGAGATGTTATGTTGGGCACTTGGGACAAAAAAAAAAAAAAGCCAACCCTCTTAAGATGAGAGAGGTGATTATAATACAGTATCGTAAGAAGTATAATAAATTTATACTTACAGCATATAGTCAGTAGATGATGGAGGCTCTTTGTTTCTTGGATGAATTCATGAAGGCATCCCAAGAGAAGTTATGCATTTGAACTGGTAGTTGATGGATTATGGGGTGTTGTGGTATTGGGGAGAGTATCCCATGGAGGGAGACTTGAACAGAAAGGGTTTTCCTTTGAGGAGAGACCATAGAAATTTAGCATTACTGAAGCAGAAAGAGTGGGGCGGGGTGGGGGCAGGCTAATGCCACGCGATGAACTTTGTCCGGAGGGTGGGGTAATAGGGAGTGAATTTTTAGGAAATTTTAAGCCAGGAATTTGATTTTTGTGTTCCACAAGGATAGCCCTGAAGGACGGATTTGCAGGGAGGAGGGGGACAGTTAAATTACAGTAAGATCAGAAAGTTGCTGTACTGCATGCAAATAGGAGACGTACTTGGTGATTAATTAGACATATGTGGAAGAATGAAAAGTCTAGGAAAACTCAGAATTTTGGCTTGATTAGTTGGGCAGTGTCATTCACCAAGATGCCTGCGTAAGACAGAAATATGCTTTGAGGGAGAAGGTAGGAAGCAGGGGAAAGAGAAGTGATTTCCATTTTTAGCATGTTGGATTTGAGGTACATATGGGAAATCCAGGTAGAAATGTCCAGAGGCAGTTGAACATGTGGGTCTGGAATTCAGAAGAGTTTGGACTTAATCCATAGTAGAAGAGTTGGTTGTGCAGTGATGGTGAGAACACATGGATTGAGAAGATGAGGGGAGACTGATCACTAAACCATTGAAAACATTTAACATTTAAGGAGCAGGAGACTGTGTCAATGGGAATAGCCTGGAGAGTAGGAAGAGAACCAGGAGAGAACGCTGGCGTTGAAACTTAGGAAGGCGGTTTTCTGGGAAGGAGGATTCAGTCGGTATTGCTGCAGATAGGTCAAGAAGACAAGGAATGGGGGCGCCTGGGTGGCTCAGTCGTTAAGCGTCTGCCTTCGGCTCAGGTTACGATCCCAGGGTCCTGGGATTGAGCCCCGCATCGGGCTCCCTGCTCCGCGGGAAGCCTGCTTCTCCCTCTCCCACTCCCCCTGCTTGTGTTCCCTCTCTCACTGTGTCTCTCTCTGTCAATAAATAAAATCTTAAAAAAAAAAAAAAGACAAGGAATGAAGTGTTCATTGGCTGGAGCTATTAGAGTAAGAAAGTTGTGGAATTCAGTGAGCACTTTTTTTTTTAAAAAGATTTTATTTATTTATTTGACAAGAGAGATAGCACAAGTAGGCAGAGCGGCAGGCAGAGGGAGAGGGAGAAGCAGACTCCCCACTGAGCAAGGAGCTCGATGTGGGACTCTATCCCAGGACCCTGGGATCATGACCTGAGCCGAAGGCAGACACTTAACTGACTGAGCCACCCAGGCGCGCCCCATTCAGTGAGTACTTTTAGAGGAGTGGACTAGAGAGCTCAGACTGCAGGGTGTTCAATCCTCAATGAAAATGAGAAGTTAGGAACGCTACTTAAAGATTTAGCTGTGAAGGGAAGGAGAGATGTCAACAGCTAAAGGTATCTCTAGCACCTAGAGCAGGTTTTGGCAGATATTAGAAACTGGGAAAATTCGGGCGCCTAGGTGGCTCGGTTGGTTGGGCGTCTGCCTTCGGCTCAGGTTGTGATCCTGGGGTCCTGCGATCCAGTCCCGCATTGGGCTCCCTGCTCAGCGGGGAGTCCGCTTCTCCCT